ATTAGACTTTACTCCAAGAAATTTAGAAAAGAGTATGTTTTATTCTCTCTCTTTTTCTACGTGTGTGTTTCTCCCATAACATCCAACTTCTAAAATGTGACAGAGACAGCACCTGACTCAGCATATCCGTATCTTTCAATTTTGTCGTCAGTCGTCTGATAAAAGTACGCAGTCTATCTCTTTAAATCCACAGTTTCCTCACATGCGAAGAAACGAGTATTTAAAGACCCTCACGTCGCTTTACAGCGCAATCACCGAGCGACAAAGACGAACCATCCAATACAGTGCGGCACGTTAACATAGAGTGAATATCATGAATACCTAGCGAATAGACTGGCACGCGCACGTATACATATATATGTATATATACATATAGATATACATATATATACATATATATATACACGTGTCCGCCGCTTTATAGCGGCGCGCATAACGGCGTTGCGTTGACATAACTGTCAGACATGTGTATGTAGGGGGCTGCGAATGCTACTTTGATACAATTACTGCAATTAAGCAGCGGCCCACAATACTACGGAAATCATATCCGCGTGTTGACCTCGACGCGACGCGGCGTCGCGATTAAATTCATCACGATTGAGCGACGTTCTGACTCGGCTCCGTTGACTATTTCTTTTGATAGCCCGGCGCACGTATCGCGCTAGACATTCGCGAAACTGATGACGGTTCAGCGGCACGGAACGTGAGTAATGGCGCTCGCAGACGTAGCATGTAAAAGTGGGCGCAAGTTCGAGATTAGGGAGATGCGATAAATAATGTTGCCCCCTTCCGGGACGCGTACACTAGCCGGCGGATTAATACTCGCCGCTTGTTAACGTTTCGCCGGCCGACACTTGCTGGGTTACATTTTCGCGGCACAAATCGCCCGGAGTCTTGGCGTGTGAGCGAGCGAGTAGCCGCTCCGCGTTGTTTCGTAGAACCTGCTAGAGAATGGCGTAGCGCTTCCTGCGGAGGGATCGTGCCAAGAACTTGCCGCTTTTTCCCGCTATCCGGGCGCGGGTGCAGCTTTTATGCCGTTGTACTGCGAAACGGCTCGCGACAGAGCGGACATAAACTTTCGGCGGCTGTGTAACAAGGAGCCGAGATGAGGAACGACGAAAGTTGAGCCTCCGGCAGGAAGCCGGAAAATTTCCGATGACGACGGAACCGCGGCGCGGCAGGAAAATTCAGCGTCAACCGAAAGAGCCCGACTTTCGACGCTCTTCCTACGTGGCCGTTATAAATTCAACATTCTCTCCGTCTCTCTCATTCATTCTCTCTTTCTCCCTCTATCTTCAACACTATAAGGGAGATCAGGACACGTTCGCAGTAGGGGTAGGTTCGCAAAACGCTTTATTTATGCATTTATCGTGAGAGAAGCCGTGGGAGCAGAATCGCAAAATGTTTTTTTAGAACATAGATACATTCCTCTGCGTTTTACTAAAGTCGGATAAACACTGCAGCTAAAAAGGAGAAAAGTCTAATTTGAGAGCAGCCAAGTAAATTTTTTAGTGTCTCGAAATCTCGTGTTAATGTGATCACCATTTTATGTAATAAAAACATTTTCATTCATGAAATGATCGAAATTGAAAAAATTAGAAACTTAGATAAATAAAATTACATTGGTGGGAAATGCTGAATGTCACACACGTTACTCGCTTTAATAGATGTAATACAGTTTCGCACGGCACTACCCGGGTAGGATTTTATCGGGGCATTCCCCAAGTCCGTAAAAGGTCTAGATAGGCATGCTCTAAAATAGTCTTCGCATCGTTAGGCCTAGAAAGAATGTACAAAGGCAAATTCTGAGTAGAATTTCCTTAACAGACCCTGAGTAGGCACTATTGGGGATGCTCCTAACTAGGCCTACCACTGTTGCACCTAGAAAGGACCTACAAAGACAAATTCTGAGTAGAATTTCCTAACAGACTCTGAATAGGTGCTGTTAGGGATGCCTTTAATAAGTTCTGCCATCATTAGGCCTACATATGGTCAAGCAAAAGGATTTCTAAAGGAAAATTTGTAAATAGGCCCAAAATAGGCACAGATATGGATGTCTGTAGACATCAACACAATGTACTTATATAATTCAAAGACATGTACTTATATAATTCAGTCAGTTCTTGTTTATTCAATTCTTGAAATAATTTAAAGTCTTACAAAATTTTAGTTTACAGTCTTAGACTGAAGTAAAATTTACATAAGTTTGAAGTAAAACCAAAATACTTATGATTTTGGTTCTCAAAAATACAGTCTTCCAAATAAAGCGTGTCATAGAGTTCCACACAGCAAGTTTCCGAAAGATAACTTGGAAATTATATTGAAATATAATAAAATTTAATTTAGAAATTAAATATAATAAATATAATAAAATTTAATTTAGAAATTTAAATAATTTAGAAATATTTGTGCAACATTTTATCAAAATCTTTTTCACTAAAATATTTCAGAAATCGCTTATAATAAACGTTGATTTATATATTTATATATATAAATTTAATTAATTTAATGAAATCTTATATGGTAAGATAGGTTTCTCCTTCTTTTAATTGTACTTCTTTATAATTACTCAAAGTTTATAGTCTTTCATGACTTTATTTATTTAATAACAATCAACAATAAAAAATTTTACTATAAAAATTTTAAAATAACGAAATGGAAGTGCGGGATTTTGTAGATCTCACCTTATTAGCTAAGAGTTAAATTAATAATAAAAGTACGAAAAATATAATTTTTATTAAAATTTTATTAAGTTATATTATAAAAAAATTATATTACTGTGTTAATCACAACATATATGAATAAAATGTAAGACGCTTATATCGATTGAAGAATTGGCATATTGTCTAAAGCAACAGATTCATAATCTTAGAGATGCCTTAGGCAGGGTCCAAGTTCGAGTCTCACCAGTGTCGTTGAGAATTTTTAAATGTGATGTAGCATTGGAATCAAGTAATCTAAAGTTTTCAAATAAAATCAGCACGCGCTGCGACCTTTACGAATAGTTATTAGAAAAAAAGTAGTACATATCATGCATGAAAGAATGTTTTTTTCTACTTAGATAGTCTAGATAGGGCCTACATAGGCGTGCCAGAAGAGGGCCTTGTCAGATTTACAAATCGGGCCCTGATTTACAAAAGCGTTACATCTCTGTACAGGGCCTATTCGGGCCTATTTGCCTGAATGGCGCCTAGACAGAAATGGGGAAAAGCTATCTAGGGCCTTTACAAGCCCTCTTTTAAATTCCTACCCGGGTAAATGTAAGCGATATTGAAATTCGGAATCGACAGACGGCGCAAAACACGAAATTCTGCGAAATCGTCCGAACCAAAACGAAGAAATTAGAAGTACGCGAGTCATAGATGCATAATAAATATAAACAAGAACGAAGCCTGACACTTTTCCCTTCTGAGTATTAAGAATTTTAAGTTTTATTAATCGCAAACTTGACTAATTGTGCCCTACTTGATTTGCCTATACTGTCTTTCTTAAACTCATTTTTAAATTATCTCCCTTCGTATTTCCCTATTCCGCCTCGACAAAAATGATAGCTCAATATTCTAATCTGGAATCATATATTTACCATATGTTTACTTTAACTCATTAACGCCAAAATGTGCTGAAATTTTACGTTGACTTGAGCCATTTATTTAGCTGTAGAAATGAGATCTGTTGTTTATAAAGAATACCATTCCTACCAATTTCGAAGGCATTTCTATCGAATAGTATTGAGAAAATTAAAAAAAGTCGCAATTTATCCAAGATTTTTGCAAAATAAAATAAAAAACGCATTTTTTAGGGCTTATTTTTTTCCGCTATTTTCTCTATAAAAACATGCTAGTATCGCTAAATATCTAAAACATGTTCCTGACACTTTAACTTAAAAATATGCTATGGGTATTTTTTTTAACAAATTTGGCGGTACCAAAATGGCGGTCGATTTGAAGCGTTTAATTCGGATTTTCGTTTATATTTGGTTAACAAAATTGTTTTCAATATTACTACAAAATTATATAGTAATTACATAATAAAATAATTTCGATAACCAAATATAAACGAAAATTCGAATTTAACACTTCAAAACGACCGTCAGTTTGATACTGCCATGTTTGTTGAAAAAAATACCCATGGCATATTTTTTAAGTTAAAGTGTCGGGAATACGTTTTAGACATTTTCCTGAACGATTACCACGTTTTTATGGAAAAAATAGCAAAAGAAGAAGAAATTAGCTCTAAAAACATACGTTTTTAATATTATTTTGAAAAAATTTTACATAAATTTTTTTAAAATTTTCTCAACGCTATTCGACAGAGCGATATTGAAATTGGTAGGAATGGTATTCTTTATAAATAACAGACCTCATTTCCGTAGTAAAATAAATGGCTCAAATCAACATAAAATTTCAGCACATTTGGGCGTTAATAAATTAATATAAATAAAAAACCTAATATCACTACATTCTGCATTTTGTCCTGAAGCAAGACAGCAATAGTGAACCATATTTATTGCAAAGTAGTTTTAAACGATAAAGAGTTTCTCTCCAGCTGCACGAACATATGAATTTTATATGTAGCTAACCTACCCTGAGCTGCTTGCGGACGTGCCTTGATACCGCGGCAACTTCACAATGATGCTACATGTTTAATTCCGGTTATTAAAGGAAGACACATACGAAATCGTGCCTAGAATGAAAATAGAGGGTGGTTGTCTCTATTTCGTTTTTCCAGTTAACCTCAACAATTAGTCGACAGAAATGTTTTAGCAGCGGAAATCCGAGAAGACATACCCCGTTGTCATCTATTGTCGAGGAGTCGCGAAATGATCGTTCGGTACGTTAGATTGGGTGTTAATTAACTGCGAGTGGGATCACGGACTGTCGTCATTAAACGCGCGAAGGCACTAGATGTATGGCCAGGACGGAGATTAGCCATGGAGATGCATTATATATGGATTAGGGCCGGAACAGCGAGCGGATTCAGGAGTAGGTCAGATTAGTTACCTCGCCCGGAAGAGGTAGGAGCACCGGATGTTCTTCGGATAGGAGGACGGGTACTGCGACGAGTAGAATCGCCCGTACTGCGGTATCAATCGCGACGAGCTGGTGAACTTGTAGTCGCACATCGTGCGGGGCACCAGCAGCCCGTCTGTCTGGAACAAACCTGCAACAGAAAGAAGACGAAAGCTTGTGTTACGATGTTGTCGACTGCGACTTCATCTAGATGTTTCTCAAGATTTTCCCAGGTGCAGCATAGATTCCAATTAGGATGTCCATATTTGTCTCATATCCAAATTGGATATCCTATTATAATAGTACTTGGATGATACTTGGGAATTTTATTCTCGTCCCAAATATAAGTTCTCGCATCAAAACAAAAATATATGAGCTTTGTTTCATTCAGTAAGTGTACTTTTATGGTGTTAGACAGGGAGATAGTCATTTTTATACTCACTGTTATATTTAATACAATAAAAAATCAAAACAAAATATTTTTAAAACACCGAATATTTTATTGAATAATATAATAACTTGGAAAGTCAACATGTTGTCGACTGCGACTTCATCTAGATGTTTCTCAAGATTTTCCCAGGTGCAACATAGATTCCAATTAGGATGTCCATATTTGTCTCAAAATTGGATATCCTATTATGATACTACTTGGATGATATTTGGGAATTTTATTCTCGTCCCAAATATAAGTTCTCGCATCAAAACGAAAATATATGAGCTTTGTTTCATTCAGTAAGTGTACTTTTATGGTGTCAGACAGGGAGATAGTCATTTTTATACTAACTATTATATTTAATACAATAAAAAATCAAAACAAAATATTTTTAAAACACCGAATATTTTATTGAATAATATAATAACTTGGAAAGTCAACATGTTGTCGACTGCGACTTCATCTAGATGTTTCTCAAGATTTTCCCAGGTGCAACATAGATTCCAATTAGGATGTCCATATTTGTCTCAAAATTGGATATCCTATTATGATACTATTTGGATGATATTTGGGAATTTTATTCTTGTCCGACATATAAGTTCTCGCATCAAAACAAAAATATATGAGCTTTGTTTCATTCAGTAAGTGTACTTTTATGGTGTCAGACAGGGAGATAGTCATTTTTATACTAACTATTATATTTAATACAATAAAAAATCAAAACGAAATATTTTTAAAACACCGAGTATTTTATTGAATAATATAATAACTTAGAAAGTCAACATGTTGTCGACTGCGACTTCATCTAGATGTTTCTCAAGATTTTCTCAGGTGCAGCATAGATTCCAATTAGGATGTCCATATTTGTCTCAAAATTGGATATCCTATTATGATACTACTTGGATGATA